GGGCGGCGCTGTGGGGGGAGCCGCTTCCGGCGAGGCGGGGCGGGGCGGCGGGGGCGGCGCGGGGGTCCCGGTGTTCCCGGTGTTCCCGGCGCGTCCCTAGCTGTCATGTCGGCCCTGGAGAAACAGCTGCATCTGGGCCGCCTCCCGCCTCGGCCCCCGCTGCCCGGCGGCGGCGGCCAGTCCGGGTCCAAGATGCGCATGGGGTAGGCGGAGGAAGGGCAGGGGCGGATGCGGATCGGGGGGAGTTCGGGGGGAGAGGTTACGGCGGAGCGGGGGCTCTGCGGGGCCGGGGCTCTGTTCCGGTCTGAGCGACGGGGGGTCTTTACTGGGGGGATCTGCGAGGAAGGGAGGCACGTTATTCCGGGTCTGGACGCAGGAAATGGGCATTATCGGGAGATCTGGACAGCGGGGAGCTCGTGCTGGGGGATCGGACAGGGAATGGGCATTGTCGGGGGATCGGACAGGGAATGGTCATTATCGGGGGATCGGACAGGGAATGGGCATTGTCGGGGGATCGGGACAGGGAATGGTCCTTATGGGGGATCGGACAGGGAATGGGCATTGTCGGGGGATCGGGACAGGGAATGGTCCTTATGGGGGATCGGACAGGGAATGGGCATTGTCGGGGGATCGGGACAGGGAATGGTCCTTATGGGGGATCGGACAGGGAATGGTCATTATGGGGGATCGGGACAGGGAATGGGCATTGTCGGGGGATCGGGACAGGGAATGGTCCTTATGGGGGATCGGACAGGGAATGGTCATTATGGGGGATCGGGACAGGGAATGGGCATTGTCGGGGGATCGGGACAGGGAATGGTCCTTATGGGGGATCGGACAGGGAATGGTCATTATCGGGGGATCGGGACAGGGAATGGTCATTATCGGGGGATCTGGACAGCAGGGAGCTCGTCCTGGGGGATCGGGACAGGGAATGGTCCTTATGGGGGATCGGGACAGGGAATGGTCATTATCGGAGGATCTGGACATCAGGGAGCTCGTCCTGGGGGATCGGGGCAGGGAATGATCACTACTGGGAGATCTGGACAGGGAATGGTAATTCTGGGGGATCTGGACAGGGAATGGTCATTCTGGGGGATCTGGACAGGGAATGGTCACTCTGGGGGATCTGGACAGGGAATGGTCATTCTGGGGGATCTGGACAGGGAATGGTCACTGCGGGATCTGGACAGGGAATGGTCACTGCGGGATCTGGACAGGGAATGGTCATTCTGCGGGATCTGGACAGGGAATGGTCATTCTGTGGGATCTGGACAGGGAATGGTCACTCTGCGGGATCTGGACAGGGAATGGTCACACCTGGATCAGGCTTCTCCAGCCGCAGAGGAATCAGTGCCCGGCGTATCCTCAGGCTGGGGGAAGGTGGCGGGTGCTGGGATCAGCTCTCCAGCCCTTTTCTCCCAGTCCTTTGCCATCACTGTTTGGAGGAAGGGTCCAGCACCGTGTCTGGGCAGTACCTCAGAGTGTGGCTGGGGGGAGAGGTGTGTGGAAATTCTCAGGAGTTGAATTCCTAAGCTGGAGTTGGACTTTGATAATCCTTGTTGAGGGTCCCTTTCCATGTCAGAATATTCCATGATTCTGTGAAATGGGATTTCTCAGCCGCAGGCACCCATGTGAAGGAGGTGTGCTCCACCAAGTGACTTTAATCCCTGCTTAAATCTGCATTTCGAGATGATGGAAAAGTCTGGGATACTTTAATCTCTTAAGCAGGGGTTGAGAGCACATTTTGGGAGCTGTGGGAGAAGTTTGATCTGCGTCTAAGGGTGTAACATGTATTAATTTATATAATTCTTCCTCTCTTCCCATGCACTGGAGGGGTTTTAAACACTGTCAGGGAAATTATTATGAATGAAACAAAATCCAGTGCTGCGGTTAAGGATCAAGAATTCCCCTGGAATCTTCCCTTGGAAGCAGTGGGGAGTAGTTGATAATCATGTTGTGGTTTGATTTGCCACCCAGTAAATCCCTTCACAGGTGATGTTCCTGTTGTGGGAGGCGCTGCACATCCAGCATGGAATGGCCTCGTCCGGAGGGGCTCGGGGCTTCTGGCAGAAGGAGACAAGAGGAAGTGGGATAGAAAGTTTAGCTTAGGCTGAGCTTATCCTTACCAAAGTGCAGTTCTGTTCAAACAAGTGCAAGATTCCCCCTGAGGAGAATTCCACCAAAAGATCTTGGGATTAGTTGTACAGGGAAAACACAGTGTGTTTGGCAGGTGTACAGGGCTGCACTGAAATAGTCCTTCAAAATTCAAACTTCCACAGGGAACAGAAATAACTACACTTAGGAAAATATTTATTTGCTGCATTAAGCATCTCACATTTATAAATGTGATTTATTTCTGTGCTTTCAATTTCTTGAATTGCAAGCCAGGCTTTTATAAAAATGGGTTTAACCTTAATATCCAAGAATGCCAGCAACTTGAGTTTTCCGTGGCTAAATCCTCTGACTGGTGTGTTGGGCACTTTCTTTTTATTCCCTTTTTTTCCCACCATGCAGGTCATCTTAATGTGACTGTGGTGTAGCTGAAAGCAGATCTTGAGAAGCAGAGGGTCAAGCATGTGAGATTGCTACAGAAAAATAGAATTTACTGAGAACTTCTTAACTGAAATAAAGTCATACATTTTTTGGCAATATGCTGTTAAAAGGTTAATGTGTGTTTCAGTAGTTCATAAAACAATGGCACCTGTTGCTGCATTTAAATGTGTGAAAATAAACTTGTTCCCAGCTTTTTCTTTAAAATTTATTCTTTTCTTGCTATTTTTTCAGTACAATCACTTCCTTATGTCTCTCTGTGGGAGAGTCTCATTTGAGAAGTCAAACTGGCCGAAGCAAATTGAATCCTTGAATTGTTCAGGCTGGAAAAGCCCTCTAAGATCCTGGAGTCCAACCTTCCCCCAGCGCTGCCACGGCCACCACCCCTGTCCCACGTCCCCAAGTGCCACATCCACACAGCTTTCAGTCCCTGCAGGGTGGGGACTCACCTGTGCCAGGCCTGGGCAGCCCTTTTGGGGAAGGAATTCTCCCTGATGTCCAGCGTGGCTCCTGTGGCATAGTTTGGAGTGGGCTTTGCGGGAGCATGGGATGCGCGCTGGAATTTCAGTGTATTTCATGGCACGTGGCATCGATTCCTGCTTTGCTAGCACAGTCCTCTGCTCCCTGGATTTAAGTGCTCTCCAGCAGAAATGATGGTTCCAAAAGGCCCTTTCCAAGGAGGCTGGAGCTTCTCTTTGGCTCGAGCAATATGTGAAACTCAGCCTCTGGGAGGAATTCTGTGTCCATTTCTTTAAGGAGCGCTCGTGGCCAAGGCTGTGTTGGGAATTGCAAGTGATTCCTTCGAATTGCTTGACTGAGGAAAACCAAAAACAAAATCAAAATCACAAAGCAAAACAAAATCAGGCTTATGGCCTGATTCTGTGTTCTGTGGGGAAATAGAATAATAGAATTTGTAAAGTAACCCCCCAGGGCAGCAGATTCTGCATTTCCTGTCTTGTTTTTTGCCTTTTGTTTTTTGCTAGTGGCTCATTCAGAGTTAAGCACCTGGATGGGATTTAAAAGTGAAAGTCAGTTTGTTGCTCCTTTCCAATGTGTGAGTAAAAATCACGTACAGTCTCTGAGGATCTTTCAATTATCTAGAAGGGCATGATTGGATCAGATCTGTGTAATTCAATCATGGCAATTCCTACTCATTTTTTCCTTTTTAATCCACTTTTCCCCCTTGGAATCCTTTTAATAAAAAAAAATTTTATGTATTCAGCATCTCTAAGGCAGAACTTAAGATACTGTCCTTGTCAATTTTTAGAATTTCTAAATACAACTTGTCAGCCGTGGCAGTTCTTACTTGTAGATGATGTTTGATTTGCTTGGGTTCAAATATGATGTGAGAATGAAATCTCCTGATTCATGCACTTGTTCTATATTTACTTTAGTAGTTTTAAATAGGGGCTCTCAGCAGAAAAAGGACCTTCTGAAAATGGCTTCTTCTGCTTGGTGCAACCTTTTTTTTTGTTTTTGTTTTTCATTTTAGGAAAATACGTGAAAGAAAACCCCTTCAAAAATTGGGGAGAGATTTGCTGAGCCATGTGGGCATCCTAAGGATTGAGGACATGATAAAGAGGACAAACTGCAAATAGGATAAAACAGAGGGTGCCCAGAATTTGTTTTGTAATTCCAGTTTAATATGCTGGCTGGCTGGCTGGCTTGGAGTTTAAGGATCAGTCTAGAAAAGTTATTATGTCAGATCCATTTCTGTTTTGGTTTGCTGGATACTTAAAAAACCTGTAATTAGTTCTGTCACCTTAAATATTGGTCAGCAAAATAGGGCTTCAACATAGGAAGGTGCAAAACCACAGCTGCTGTTTATTGGGCACACTTCTAATTTTGAATGTGTGTTGATGCTTCACTAAAAAAATCAGCTCTAGAAAAACTCCAAAGATTCTTTTCTTTGGAGAAATGTTTTTGCTCAACCCTCTGTGGTCACCTGGGATTTTGTGGAAAACTGCACATATATTCTGCCCTTTTGGGGGTTCAGTGTTAAACCTGAGGTCACTCACGTTTCCTCAGCATTGCTTGGATGCAAGTATTTTGTTTAAAATCATGATCAACACGTATTTGCATCAGAGGTGATGATAGTTTTTAATTCCCATCTCCTCTTCACTTTCTGCTCCAATTCCCTTGGCAGCACAGGAGTTCTGCTGTATGTTTTTCAATTCCCTTGGCAGCACAGGAGTTCTGCCAAGAGCTCCAGATACTTCACGTGTGACACAGCTACTAACATTTTCTCTGGAGGTGTTCACTCTTGTTAAGCTGAATTTGAGGCATTGCTAGGGAAGGGCTCGGCCTCGGTGCCGTGGGTTCCTCTTGCAGGTCATGGGATTCTCTCCATGGATCTGCCTCGGTATTTGCACCTGCCTGCCTCTTGCATGCAAATTCTGCTGTCAGAAATGGCTTTTGAAGGAGACACAAAAGTACTCATCCCGGGAAGTGTCCAGGGCCAGGCTGGATGGGCTTGGAGAGGCCTGGTCTGGTGAAAGGAGATTTTTTGGCACCCCCAAGAGGCTGCTGTGCTCCCCTGTGGCTGTCCATCCTGCGGCCCTGCTTCCACAAAAACGGGCTGGCTTGGCACACAGCTGATCGGTCAGCCACATCCCCCCCAGATTCCTGGTGCCACAGCAGTGCCAGGGCTGGGTCACCAGGGAGTCCTGCTGTCCCCCAGATTTATGGATCAGGTGGGAGGGGCTGTAGCCAGGCAGATGACAACATTTGCTGATCACCTGCAGTTGCTGAGGGCAGCGGAACCCAAAAGCAGCTGTAACGTGCTGTGCAAAAGTCTGGCTGCAGCTGAAATGCTGCATCTTGAAGGGTGATGGAATTTATTTTCGCTAGCTGCACATCCTACCTATTCAAAACCCAGAGAAGGGAAATCATCCAAGCTGTGGGCAGTTCTGTGCATCTCCAGAAAGAACCAGAACTGGTATGGAGAGAGCATGTGAGCAGGGCTGGGATGGCTTCCAGGGAAAAATTAAGCTTTGAATGTGGTATTTTTTTCCTTGATCAGACAATGAGATTAGGCTGAGGCAGTAAAAGAGATTAATATTTTCTGGATTTATGTAGGTGTGTGACTTCTCATTGTATTTAATTGAGATTTGACAAGAAGTCTGGAAACCCACAGGAGGGAATTTGGTCCATTCAGGGGGTGGCTGGTTTATGTCTCATATCCTAGAAACACCAGGGGAAACAGAAATTTTGTTTCTACAAAATTGAAAAGCTGCTTTGTCTGTAATTTTCTATTTCTTTAGGAAGCCAAGAATTCAGGAGAAACTTCTTCAGCAGGGATTTTTCTGCTCTGAAGGTCTTTCACCTCTCACGCCCATGCGTGATTTTAATATTCTGTGCTGCCTGCCTGCCTCCCCCAGAAGAGCTGAAGTGCAAAAACATGGTTAAAATGGTGCACTGTTACTCATCCTGTATCCTGGGCTCGAATTGAGCCTAATTATGCCACTTCCAAAATTAAGCACTACTCTTTTAGTCTTACTGAGTAAATACCAGCCTGAGAAACAAATTCTGCATCAACTGAGTCATCAGGAAAATTCTGATTGCAGAGCCTTTTGTCAGTAAGGGGGGTACAAGGAGAGGACACAGCTGCACCTTTTGAAGGAAGCAAAAAATAAATTGGTTTGTCAGCTGGGCACCTTTTGTCTGTGGGTCATTGCAAACTTGGAGGTGGTACTGGGACAGTATCACTGTTCTGTTTATTTTCCCTTGGCTTGGGTCTGTGTACACTAAATCACCATTGTTCAGTCTTCCTTGGAATTACTTGATGAGGAAAGTACTCTTTTCTCTGTTTCTGCTACATTTCCTTGATAGGAGCAACAACTGGGAGGGGAAAAAGGGGAGGATTCCTTCACTGACAGTAAAATTCTGAATATTGTGATTGCATGGGAAGTTCACTGATGCGCCGTTTGCTTCCAGTCCGAACTGTTGTGTAACACCAGCATGTTCTCTTCAGTGAGAGGAGGCCTGGATGCCAATTTCAGTGGAAGAATTTAAAAATAACTCTTTCTTGTGGGATTTTTTCTGTCTTGCAGCCCTGGAAGAAAGCGTGATTTTTCACCAGTGCTTTGGAGCCAGTACTTTGAGTCTATGGAGGACGTTGTGGTAGAAAATGACACTGGCAAGGATATATCCTTTTTGTTCCCCCATATTGAATTTGTCATAATCTCAGACACTGGGGAGGTATCATGGGTTTTTTTCATTTATTTGGGTTCTTCAGCTTTTTCATGTGTTCCTTCTCATCCTCCATTATGCCTCCTGCAGGGTTCAGTGTCAGGAAATAGAACTGTCCCTTCCAGGCTGACAGTTGAACTGTAGCTAGCAAGGCCAATTCCTGATATTGCTTCTTTAGTAATCATTAATGTTTAAAAAGTGTTTCCAACAGTCCAATAGCATATTTTGCAGGGAAACACTCATCAAGTTCTCATAATTCAAACCATATCAGGCCCAAAGCTGTTCATTGATTTTTATTAACTACAGTTAGTTTGGTGGCAGCAGTACAGCAGATAAACCTTGACAGAAACATGTGGATGTGAATAAATACTTCCAAATTTCTGGCCAAGGCAGAGGCTGTGGTGCCCTCAGTGTCTTCTGGCAGTGCCAGCCAGAGGTTTTTCTCTCCAAGACAGGAATGCCATTAGGAAAACCAAACGTCCAGGTCGCTTCTCTCCAAACACACTGGGAGGTGTGGGGTCTCCGTTCAGTGCCTGACACTGTGACTAACACCCAAGAGAAGTGTTGGGGTCTGTGCACACAGGGGATGTGCTGGAGCTCTAACCAGGGCTCTGGGGCAGAGCAGTGGGCACCAACCCAGTCATTCCTTCAGCTGCTTCCACAGGTCACATCTGTCCACAGCCTTTCACACGGGACCTCAAGCTTCTGCTGAAGGCAGCAGAATAAATCCTCAACAGCTAAGATTTGCTTGAATTTGGGATGCTTCTGTACACAACCTATCCAAACAGGTCCATTATGCTTTTTATTTTATATTAAACCTCGGGGGAGTGCACAGCCCTTCATCAAATGTGGACAAGGTGCCCATCATGAATCATGGAGCCACCAGAGCATGGTGTGGGTGGGAAAAGACCTTAAAGCCCATCCAGTGCCACCCCTGCCATGGTAGGGACACCTTTCCCTATCCCAGGCTGCTCCAAGCCCCATCCAGCCTGGCCTTGGACACTTCCAGGGATCCAGGGGCAGCCACAGCTGCTCTGGGCACACTATGCCAGGGCCTCACCATCCTCACAAGGAGGAATTTCTTATGAACATTTAATCTAAATCCTCCTTCTTATTTAAAACCATTTCCTTGCCCTCTCATTATTTTGCCCATGTAAAAAACAACTCTCCATCTTTTTTCCTAATGAATTTCCAGTTTTCTCTTAGTTCACTTCCCAGGCAGAAAAGGACAGGGGATGAGTGAATTTTATAGGGGGGGGAGAAAACCTGGGCAGCAGGAATACAACTCTTGAAGCTTAAACTGAGTTACATTTTTGTCCAGGTAATGCCTGAAAATTCCTGTTGGTCAGATAAATGAAGGGTAGAAATAAAGCACTGTTTGGTATTGCAAGCTCCAAAATTCATTCTACTGCCTTGAAGTAACTCTGTGGAATGTCCTTAACTGTTCATACACTTTTCGAATTTACAAAAGTGGCTTGGAGGGGCCTGTCTTGCTGCTGTTACACGGTGGAGGCCACTCTGCTCTGTCCTGGGCTGTGTTTACTGTGAGTAAAGCTGCTGCTCTGTAGCAAGAAATGTGTGGAGATGGAGCTCTCCGAGTGTGGAAGGCAGTTACCCATTCACCTCTGGGAAACACGGGAAAAAAGTATTTTAAAGATAACAACATTATCTTTGCTTGATTGGGGTTCTCAGGTGCAGGGAATGGAGGGTTTGGGCTGTCTTTAGGGGCTGGAAAATGCTAACCTGTGGATTCAGTGGGTCTGGGGAAAGCAGCTAACTGCTCCAGTCATTTAAAAATTGAATAGCTGAAAAATCAAAGTTAGAGGGCTGGGTAGCTTTGAGGTCTGGGTAGCTTTTGCCAGTTGTGTAGGTGGTTTTATTAAGAATCCCTCAGCAAATTCCTCCACGTCTGCTGGGCTGTTATTTAAATGATCAATGATTCCTGAACTCAGAAGTCTTGCTGTCAACCAAACACACCACTTCTCTGTGATGCCTGAAATAACTTAGTTAAATTGATCTGTCTGGGAGAAATTGAGCCATAATTGTGTTGCAATTATTATGCTCTGCCTTACCTGAAAAAGATTCCTCAGCTGTTTCCCCTGACCTCTTTGGACTAATCAATTTTTATACATTTCAGCCTGTAAAATTCTATCCTTTGGGAGCAAACTGAACCTGTACTCAAAGCAGCTGCACCACCTCTGTCAGCCACGGAGCCAAGAGTGTGGGGCTCGCAAAGCAAGAGAAGCCCTTTGATGTCTGTAATCCCACTGCTGTTCCAGTTCTCAGAGGTGCTGCAGGGCTTGAGTCTGTGATCCCAGGAAAACCACGTCATGTTTTACACACATGGAAGGACTGTCCTCGTTAGCAGTGGGATGCTCACAGGGATGGGGCTTTGGCCCATTAAGGACAGTCTCACAGAATATTTTTGCTTGTGTTGTGTAACACCCCATCCAGTTCAGGTTCAGCCATTTCAGTGGCTGTGAAGGGTTTTTAGGGAGTGCTTGTTGTTGCTAATCCCACTTTGCAAATATTCTCTCTGTTTCTCCTTGCAGTCTGCAATCATTAACAGGATCCAGTGTAGGATTGTGGCCTTAGACCTCCGAGGACATGGTAAGTCCGAGAAATAAATCTGGAGTCAAATCAGCGTGTTGCATGCTCCCATTTTTTAAAGGGATTCCTCTCAGGATGACTTGGAAAACATCATTAAGGCATCCCAATTCCGATTCAAAAGCAGGGATGGAAGACTGGCTTCTGTCAGAAGCTGAGACCCCCTGAACTTTTGCTTGAGACAGTGGTGGACTACTTCCTTCCACCAAGCCCTCTTTTGTAATTCATAACCTTTAAGTGGTCTTTGCCATGAGAAATCAGGACTGTTCTTTCATTTTAAGATCCATAAAGAACAGTTATGGGCAGCGTTTCCTACCTACAGTACCAAGTGTTCCTGTTAATTCTGTGTTTCTTAATTATTCATGTTCATTGCAGCAGGCTTGCTCTTCATATCTGTGCCTAAAAGCTTTGTACCATCACTGCTCTAAGTCCTGAGGGGGCCTGAAGCTTTTCAACTTAAGCGAACTTAACTTGGGTTGGGTTTTTTTCAGGAGAAACAAAAGTAAGGAATCCTGAAGATCTGTCTGCAGAGACTATGTCAAAGTAAGGAAACTTGCTCATTTCCCTTTTCACAAACCTCCCTTTCTCTCCTTGGCTGAACAATAAACTACTTGAGGGCTCACAGCCTTCATTCAGAGGAGCTGGAAGACAGTTTAATTGCATGTGATTCCCGTAGTTATCCCTCCTCTCCTTCCATTCTGGGACAGTTGGAAATTATGTCCCTCCCAGCTGAGTCAGATTCCAAGAACTGGAGTTGTTCTCCCAGGATTTTTAAACACTGAGTACTTTAAACCTGCCCCATGCTGGAGAGTTCCTAAGGGAGGTGGAATGCTTCCCTTAGACATCCAGGGGTATTTTAGCCTGAAATCACCAGTTTGACTCTTCCTCAGCCCCAGTGTTCAGAGTGGGCCCACACTGGCCTGGTAACACCCCCGAAGTCTGGGTCACAGACACAGGATTTTCAAGCATAGAATTGCTTTTTCAAACTGTCATGACCCGCTTTGGCATGCAAATCCATCCCCCTCTTGACAAAACTGTAAGAAAAGCAAATACCCACTGCTAAGCACATTATGTTCTGCCCATATTTAGTACAAAGAGACTCTTTGCTGTGACTACAACTAAATGATGAAGGATTTTGTAACCTTCCCATGGACAAATCCACTTGGTTTGTTGAGGGGAGGCCATGTGTGAAATGTATTCTGACTTCCATTGTATACCTTATTCCTGCTGCTTTTGCCTTGTCAGATCCTGATGTGTAACTGTCCTGAGGAGATGCTGGATTAAATAATTAGAGTATTTTAGATCTGGAGCAGCATTGCTGTGGGGGGAAAGCAACTTCCTTTTGTTTTGAAACCTTCCCCTCTTCTTAGCAATGAGCTAGAAACTTAGTCCTGAGTATCTTTTAATTAGGAGCCTTAAATTATAGCTGGTGTTCCTGTTCTTCTAAATCAAATCCTCACACAATTTTCTCTAGCAGAGCAAACAAGCTGGTCAACCTGTTCATTTTTTTCACTTTCTTTCCATTTTCAATAAAAATGGAATAATTTATTTCAATGAAAATTGCTCAGTTCTCAGCTTCCTCTGAATGGCTGTAGTCAGGAAAGCCAGCTGGGGGGATGTCTTTAAAGTGCTCTTCAGGAGATTTCAGCTGTTAGCTCTGCTGCTGTTCTGGGGTTTGGGAATCATACCAGCCAGGTTTTCCGTCCTGGGAAAAGTGTCAAGAAGTGACAGCTTCAGTTTAACAGTAAGGGCCTTTTGGGAAGGGTGAGGAAATTGCCCCTTGCCTATCTATGCTCACAGAGAGTCTCAATCTTTTTGCTCATGCTCAGTGTTGTTCATCTTTGCCACAGTCAGCAGGGCCCAGTTATTTTTCTCTCTCTAATTCCAGTTTCTTTTAAGAACAATGAATTTTTTGGTTTGTGCTTCCATGCAAGATGATTTGACAGCTTTTTCTCACCTTTTATTTAACATCCCCACCAGCAAGTGTCAGCCTAAAATGTTTTCTACAAGGAATCACAGAATTTGTGCTGGGAGGGACTGTAAATTTCATCCACATGGGCAGGGACACCTTCCACTAGACCAGGCTGCTCGAACATCTTTTAAATTAGTATCTCTTAAGTGAGGATTCTGTTACCAGAAGGGGAAAGGACACGGCTGCCCCGGCCAGCAGCCTGCCCGCTGGTGGGCAGGGCGCGGGTGGGCAGGGCGCGGGTGGGCAGGGTGCGGGGCGCGGCTGTGTCCTGGCGGAGGTGCCAGGCGCGTTTGCTGTGCCGCAGGGACGTGGGCAGCGTGGTGGAGGCGCTCTACGGGGACCTGCCGCCGCCCATCATGCTGATCGGGCACAGCATGGGGGGAGCCATCGCCGTGCACACCGCCGTGGCCAACCTGCTGCCCAGCCTGCTGGGGCTCTGCATGATCGACGTCGTGGAAGGTGAGCGAGCGAGCCGCCGCCGCGCCGGCTGCTGCCTCCCAGCCCTCCTCTCAGCCACAAACCCCCAGTGCAGAGGGGTCTGCCCCTCCTTTAAACCCACTCCGTCCTCCCAGCAGATCCTGCAAGCACAAAAATCTTTCCAGGGTGACCCCTCCTTTTCCTTGTCCTTTACCTTTTTTCCCTTGTCCTTTTCCATTTCCTTTACCTTTTCCTTTTCCCAGGTGTACTCTCTCTGTTTGCTTTTTTCCTGCTAATGTCACAGAATCAGAGGATCAGCTAGATTGGAAAAGACCTTTGAGATCACCGAGTCAAACTTAGGATCTAACACCACCTTGTCTGTTAGACTGTGGCACTAATTTCTTTGAAACACTTTCTTGGTGGGGAGGAGGGTGGCTTTTGCTGTAATGCTCGGTGCTGCTAAATGATTGCTGCTTTCTCTTACTGTCTGAACATCCTACCTATTCAAATAGTAATTTTCCAATATGACTTTTGGCTTAGAAATACTAATCTGTACTTTCCTTACCAGCATTAGATCACTGGGGAGATCCAGCTCTCTGTGAGGGTGTTGCAGCCAGTTTTGTATAGAGGGATGTGGCAATAATTTCATCAGATGCCATGAAGTTGATGAAGATGATGCCATTTGCTTTTAGGTACCGCCATGGATGCCTTGAACAGCATGCAGAACTTCCTAAGGAGTCGTCCCAAAACATTCAAGTCGCTCGAGAATGCCATTGAGTGGAGGTAAAGCTTGGGCTCAGTCTCTGGAATCACTTGTCTTTGTAGCCTGACTCCTGAAGGAAACAAAGTTTATATAATTTGGCTGTTTACAGGCCCTCTCCCAGCCCTCTGCCATGGGTTTAACCCTATTTCACCGTTTCCCCACCTCAGCTACAGTGACAAGGGGAGGTTCACATCACTTTGGAGTGAGCCACTCTGTTCAGTCTGAGAGTAGGAGCTTTGGGAATGGTTTGGGGAAATCTTGAGCTGTAGAGGAGTTTAACTCCTGTTTCTGGGCCTGCTGATTCTAGAAACTCTTCAGTAAATATTTCTGTCTTATGATGTTTTTTTCCCTAGTGTAAAAAGTGGACAGATAAGAAATCTCGAATCTGCCAGAGTTTCTATGGTCGGTCAAGTCAAACAGTAGGTGGCCTTTGGTTTATTTCATTTACTTTTTTAAAATATTTTTTTTTTCTGTCTTACAGGAGTTTAACTCCTGTTTCTAGGCCTGCTGATTCTAGGAACTCCTCAGTAAATATTTCTGTCTTATGATTTTTTTTCCCTAGTGTAAAAAGTGGACAGATAAGAAATCTCGAATCTGCCAGAGTTTCTATGGTCGGTCAAGTCAAACAGTAGGTGGCCTTTGGTTTATTTCATTTACTTTTTTAAAATCTTTTTTTTTTTTTTCTGTCTTATAATACCCTTGCTACATAAGTGCACTTGAAAATGAAAATTTCTTCAAGCAAAATTGCTGAACAGCTATGGTTTAATCCTGGGTGGTGTTTTGGTTTGGATTTTTCCTTTTGTCAGGGAATCAGTTTCTGATTTTATTTTCACAGGTGCGAAGGGGCTGACAGTCCTGAATGCCCTAAAGCCATAGTAGAGGGAATTATTGAGGAAGAGGAGGAGGAGGACGAGGATGAGGAAGGAGGAGGCTCTGTCAACAAAAGGAAGAAAGAGGATGACACAGAGGTTGGGAGCTTGTTGCTGTGTTTTCAGCTTGCCCTGCAAGAGCTGTCACCTGCGGTTATCCAAATCATTCTGATATGAAGGAGCCACTCCAGGGAGAGAAAACTGGATGAGAGCCAAGCCCAAATGTTCAGACAATTTGTGAGCTATTTGTGTCACTAAAAAATAGCAAATTGATTGCCCTGAATCCTGCAGTCTTCTGAAGGCTCTTCTCCTCTTGGTGTAGCTCTTTCTGACTTCCTTGATGCCTACTCATGTACTTTGATTTAGACAGAGATGTAGAAGCAAGGAGGGTCATCCCTGGAAGTGTGTAATCCACCAGAGGGAGCCCGTATTTTTTTATTTTTTATATCTCTGTATGTATGCATTTCCAGGTGGCTCCCTGAGCTGGTTTTCTTTCTGCTGTTTGACTGATCACTAATGCAGAGCTCTCTCTCCTCCCTGCAGACAAAGAAGGAGCATTTGTACACGTGGCGAATCGAACTGGCCAAAACAGAAAAGTACTGGGATGGCTGGTTCAGGGGTTTATCCAACCTCTTCCTGAGCTGTCCGACTCCAAAGCTTTTGCTTTTAGCTGGTACGTGTCCCTTCCAGTCCTGGGGTGCACTTCAGGGATGTCACACTTGCATTTCAGAGGACAGGGTCAGCACTGAGCTGCAGTGTTTCCTGGGAATACCGGGGCTTCTCTGTGTCTCCTGAAATAGCGTGGTGTGATCTGAACTTCTCCAGTGAAAGTCAAATACAGCTGTAAGCCCTTTTTGTACCTTAATAGCAAATACAGTATGTAAATATCCTTTTAAGTTATAGGGAGGGCTGTGCTCTTGCATTTTTTGGCTGTGCTTCTTTCCTGTAACTTTACTCTCTCAAGGTGCAGCAGTGAAATGTCCTTGTCGTGGGTGTCAGAAGTGTTTATTTTCTGTTCTTCAATCTAATGTCTCTTTTAAAATGCAGAGTAAAGCCTGGCTCAGAGAACTGTATTCTCTCTGGCTGTTCTCCAAAACATTTGTGTATTTGATTGTAGGTGTTGACAGGCTGGATAAAGATCTGACCATTGGACAGATGCAAGGTAAGTATTTAATATTGCTCTTCAGCCTTACTGTAATGCTCTTTTTGCGTGACAGCTTGTTGCTGTGGGTACAGTCAATATCCAAACAAACGGGCATTAAAGAATTCGTCCCTCCCAAAGTGTTCTCCTACTGTGGCCAAGGAAAGGTGGGGAAGGTGAGGAGGGAAAGGTTCAGTTCAAAGGGCTGTTGCTGTGGGTTTTGTTCAATCTAGTATTCAGTGCTCCCAGCAGTGGAGCTGCTACCCTTCTCTAGGATCAAAATGATTGCCTGTGAGGGCTGATTTCTAATCCATTTTTTCCCTTTCTAGCTACATTCCTGATGTTCCTAGCTAGAACACTTGGGACCATTCAAAACTGCCCCATCTCCCAGTGTTTCTGACAGACAGCAGACCAAGATTAAGCATCGTCATTCTTGTTTTGGGGTTTGGGTTGGGATTTTTCCTCCCATCCCTGCTTTCCAGAGCAACCAGTACTAGATAGTAGTATTGGATAGCAGGATAAACATTACCTTAAGGTAAATCTGGTGAGAGTTCTAACTCTTGACACTTGCCTGTATTGAGAAGCTCTGAGAAGTTCAGCTTCATTTTAACTCCTGGGAACCTGTTCTAGTTATACCTGGAGAAGGTGAATTAAGCAGCTGGTCCATGTTTTCTCTGGAGATCACGGGCTGTGATGGTGTGGAGTCTGCCCAGACTTCCTGCCATCCCTTTTCCAAAGGGGCCTCTTTTCCAGCTACATTTAGTGAGGTCAGTTGGTGCAGAGCGTGAGATCCGTGTGCTGACTCTCTCAATCCACAGGGAAGTTCCAGATGCAGGTTCTCCCACAGTGTGGCCACGCAGTCCATGAAGACGCTCCGGACAAGGTGAGCCCCACTGTGGGGTTGAAGCTACATAAGCCACGATCTGAAATGCAAGAAAAGGATCTGTTCCTTACCATGCAGCAGAGATCATACTTCAGGGGCATCTTTTGGCACGACAACTGGCTTTCACAAGCAGCTTGGATTTTTTAGCTGTTTGGGAAGCCCTGGCTAAGATGTTACATGCCACAGGGCTGGGCTATGGATTTAACTCTGAGGCTCGTGGTGATGTACCTAATTCCACCCATGTGGAGTGTGGATTTCTCCTCCCTTCCTTTCCTCATGCAGTTCCCCACTTCCCTTGCACTAAGCTGCAGCTTTGGGGGTTGGTCTGTGTTTTGCTGAGTTGGGTGGCTCACATTTTCCAAATAGAAACCAAATGTTCCTGCAGCAGCTTTGACAGAGCAGTGCTGCTTCTGGGCACTGCTGGAGTTTGTGTCCAGATGGAAGCAGGAATGCGGTGCAGCCATTGGAGCCTGTGGTTGGGAGCACATCTGGTTTTAAACCTCATTCTGCACTGACAGCTGTGTTAAAACTCAGCCTTTCTGTGCTTCAGTTTAACAGTCTGAAATAGGTATTTTTATCTAAACGTACTGAGTTCTTAAGCTGTAACTCTTTTTTTATACATTCTGAGCAATATTGACCAGGCTGGACGGGGCCTGGAGCAGCCTGGTCTAGTGGAAGGTGCCCCTGCCCATGGCAGGTGTTGGAACTGGATGAGCTTTAATGTTCCTCCCACCCCAAACCATTCCAGGTTACTGTCTGGCACCCTGAATTTACCTTTCCTCCCTGCTAAACTTAGACATTGTTTTAAGAATTACTGAAATGGGTGGAGAAAAGGTTTGGTCACTTCTTGATGGCAGGCTCAGTGTCTGGTGTGTTACACAGAGCTCTTGTTTAAAACTGCCTGGGTTTTGTCTTCTCTTTGTGTCCCTTTAAATCCTGAGCTATTTTTCTCCCTTCTCTCAGGTTGCTGAAGCCGTTGCAACGTTCCTGATCCGTCACAGGTTTACAGAGCCCATTGGTGGATTCCAGTGGTAAGGCTCCATGGAGTTGTGTCCCTGAGCAGAGCTCCTGCTCTCACTGCCTGTTTGGCTCTCGAGGTGGGAGGCTGGAATTTTAGCATGGTGCTAAAAACCACAGATAAACAAACAGCTCTGAATCACAGCCAGTAATACATTCGGTGTTTGTGTTCCTTTTAAATGTCTCATGTATTTACATGTGCTGATGAAACCTCCTTCCTTGGAAGGGAGGAGCAAAGCAGATTTCCTTCTTTATAGCCTGCCAGAAAGCAAAATGCCAAATTTTATGGCAGTTAGCTTAAATAATATTTCATTAAGTAACCAAGGCCCTGTGTTGTGGAAACAACTTGCACCACACTCCCTTTGCTAAGAAATACTGGTGAGATGAGGCAGGTAAAGCCGTGTGCTTCACTTTGCAGACATTCCATACTTATCCATGTGTTTTCTTACCAAAATGGCCTGTGGAAGCCAGGCCCCTGTGATCAGCCAGGCAGTGAGAGAAGGGTGTGATTGATAAGCTTGATAGTGTAGGTTGATGTGTAAATAGGGAGAGAGGGAGAAGACCTAAGGACTTTTCAGCTAAATTTGGGTTGTTGCAGAGTTTGCAGAGAATACCTTGATGCTAACGTGGAGTCTTTCTTCCATTCTCTTTTTTGCCTCCTAGTGTGTTTCCTGCTTGTTAATATCCTGGTGTTTTCCAGCACTGATTCCCATTGTAAATAAACTGCACCAGAGGCCACTGTGATGTATCCATATCCTCTCATCTCCCAGTCCAGCAGCAGTGAGAAGTTGGTGTGAGATTCATCCCCTAGAACTAGCTCTCCAGAATATCTAAATTCTTAGGGACTTCCTTGCTGGGAAGCAGCTTCTACTGAAGACCATGAAAAGCTCTTCAGGCCCTTGGAACTGGGATCCTCTTTTCTGCTGCCACAAGGAAAGACCTCCTGGAATCCCACGTAGTCAATCATGCCGGTCTCCACCGATTCTCAGGCTTTCTTGGACCCAGCTGCAGAGGGCTGTTGGCAGTCCAG